AAATGTTTGCACATATGTCTGATATATGTTAAACTTATATGAACTGAATTGTGTTATTTGTAAATGTCATATAAAGAAAACAATTTAATAAAAAGAAATCTAAAAAAAAAAGAAAAAAAAGAAGAGGAATATAGATTACCCACTGAAGTGAGAAACCATACTGGAACAATGTTCTGTAATACAGAACTTTACAATGACTTTTGGTGGCATGTGAATTTGAATTCAGAAGAAACACATCAATTAATGCAAGAAACCTTGAAGCTATTAATGAATAAAAACAAGAGAGGCCTACTAAGAGCAGAAGCCCTGCCAAGAGAATCGAATATAAAAGGCCAACAACAGAGACTTGATGCCATGGGACACTTGTACTACAATTTGCAGCTTTTCTTAACTCTACATATTATGTACATACATGCAAAGCAAGGAACTCCTGTAACATAGCTACAGAGACATCGATACAACATTGCAGATGTGATCTACCGATGCACTCCTTGCTCTTTTTGGTATAACTATACCAATAAAAATGTTAAATGGCTCTCTAAAACCATAGACCAAGGATTCTTGCTATATTCTATACCTCCAGGAATGTGGTGCATAGACAGAAAAATTATAATTACTAAAGCAATCATGCTATTTTTCTCCCTGTATGAGAACTAGGTCAGTGACAATATGCAATATAATACAGAAGCTATAATTAATGGTATAAAAACACATACATGTGTTAATTACAAAGGAAGATAGCCTGACATGTTAAGTTTTAGTCTAAACATTGATAAGATGTCTAAGTCATGACAATAGACTGACTAAGATGTTCCCTTCTGAATTGGCCAAGTCAAGGCTATGTATGTCATTTAATACTCATGACCTTGTATCTTTGCCAAGTTAAAGTAGGTCCTAACATGACCTAATTGAAAATCTAAGGTATAAATATGTGTACTTATTAATATTAGGACACAGAGGAGAGATTTTGGAGATAGAGACGCTGTATTTTTTTATCATTAAAGAAGCTAACATGTTCAAGAGTGTATGCTATTCTACTTTACTGATATTGCAAGCATATACTTTAATCTTATAAACTCTGCTATAAATTTTTGTAATGGATTGTTACATTTTTATATGTCTATATTTATATTTTTATTTAACAAATATTTAAAAAAGACAAAAAGGTATTGCTTTCAAGACAATCCCTATTTTATATTGTATTCTCAAATACCTATATTTTAAATAGAGGAACTCTTACTAACTAGATAAAAGGTCAAGAATGAGTTTGTGCTGACACAGAAGGTAGACTATGATACTTTAATCTAAGTTTGGCCGATTAAAGTTAAATGTATAATGGTTGAGAAGTATGTGCAGATCGCCGTGGGCCAGTATGATGAGCTTACTCAATCTCTTTTTGAGAGGTAGAATCTCTTGTGAACTTGAAGAAAACATGCAGGTAGACCTTGAGAGAAAAACAAGACTTTTGTTCGTGTAGTTTTTCTGGCAATCCCACAAAGCATAGATTGTTTTGTCTGCTGATATTATCCAAGTAATCTAATATGTTTTGTATGATAACAATTATGGCTTGTTGCTTTGCTAGATAGGTTTCAATGTATCTGGAATGGTAGAAGTTATGACCTTAAAAGAGTGTTCTTTACAGACTCCAAGAACTGGCATTGTAGGATTTTTGTATGAGCAGGCTGGTCCAATGCAATTTAGCAGTCAGATACTAACATTTTGCAAAACACTGTCATTAAATTCTTGTCAGGGTCAAACGAGGTTCTCAATTACATTGTCATGGTTATTTGATCCAACAAGAACACTATAAACCCACTAAAGAGGGACAGAGCTGGGCTGAATGAGTGTAAATAAATAATAGCATGAACGTCAAAACAAGCCAAGGTCATGGGGCACCAGAAATCACAATAACGAAAGCCAAAGCAAGGTCAAGGATGACAGAAATACAAAAGAGTCAGTTTATAACCCAGCCAGATACCAAAAGGACATTAGACAGATAAATAAAGGCACTCTTGGGACACAAAGAAACTATAACAAGGCACCGTGATACTGACACACTACGGTTTACAGGTTTGGTGGCATTAGTGTTGTAACCGCACCCCCAAAATGTGAGAGGGTATTGCTAAAAAGTGTAATGAGCTTCACTGACTTTATGACGCCAACACACGTGCACCGATTCATAAAAGGGACACGCACGTGGCGGCCGACATCAGTAAGGCTTGAGGATCAGCCAGAGAGAATAGAAGGGGCACTTCACTGGATCGGGATGTAACATGACCAGTGGACTGCCAAGATGACTACAGGGCTTACATGCAGTGCTGTTGAAGTGCTGATTGGGTAGTTGGCTAGAACCTATTCAAATCAGTTAGAACTCAATAAATCTGCATGGAGACTCCACAAATTGGCCCTGGCCCTGGGGTTAAGATGCACTGTATGTTATGTAAATATTGTTTATGTAATTATGGATTTAGAAATGAATGAAAAATACAAAAATATTCTCTACCATTCCATTTTAATAAAATAAACACACTGAAAACAGATTTCTTTATTGCTCGTGTAACGGCACCCCGGGCATAAAAGGGTTAAAACATTTATTACATAAAATACAGACATGCAACATATCCCCAGATAGCTTAGGTCTGAGCGCACATTTTTACTGAATGGCGCTCAGACCACACACATACAGTTCAATTGCCATGGAACCAAAGACTTTTATTACACAAATAGGCTCCATGGCATAGCTATCTGGGTTAAATGAGTTCATTCAGTAAATCCGAGAATCTACCGAACGTCAGGGCAGAAATACAGGAATAGACCTTTCTGCATAGGAAAATAAAGTATTTAAATGCCGGTCCATAGTCAAAAGGCAGCAGGCAGGCAACCAGGCTCCTCCAATGCACAGTGGCAAGATTGGTCTCGTCACAGCTCAATTCATTAATGATAGTGTAGGACCACACTGTTCTGAGTGTCTACCACCCATTCCTTTTGTTTTCATTCTTTCAGTAACTTTTTATTTCAGAATATTTATAAATACTGTTCATATAGATTTGCAAACAAGAAATCCATAAATGTGAATTTCCTACCATGCTGTGCTTCCACTCCATATCTGAGCTATGAACCTGTTATAAAGTGAGAATTTAATAGTAAAATAAATGAATGTGATCACTCATACATTATATGCATTCAGATATTTTTGTAACTAGTTCTTAATTCAGCAATGTTAGATTTTTCTAATTCAGATACAATATATTTTTGTGCTGGGAACATTAACTTGTCATAATACTGTTGCTAGACTGCTCCTTTTATGGAAATGTCATTAAATTTTTTTTCGTGTGAGTTTTTCTGACCTTTACAAACTGCCTATTACTCAGTAAAATGTTCTCTGTAAAGTGTTATAGCCGGTGCACATAGTGATAATATGCAAATCAAACATTTTTTTTTTATTTAGCACCTGTAATAATAGTAAAAAGGTCTTAAAAAGTGAAGAAAGAAGTCAAGTAGACTAAGAATAAAGACTAAAGCAAAACTGAACACATCATGGCAAAGTACTTTTTTTAATAAGTATCTGTTAACAATGCAGTTTTCTTATTCCCGTTTCCCCATTGGCAGTTTGTTAGGAACCTACAGCTGTATCAGTGCATTTGGACGGATGGATGGACGGATGGCAAATGAGAAAGATTAAATAAATTAAAAAGCCTAATTCTAGATAAAATGCAAAATAAAAAGACAATGTTGATGAAAGGCTATTTAAATAGGCACATGTTTCCAATTCAGTGCCTAGTGAAAACAAAGTTTTTCTTCTTTCTGTAGGATGGTGTGGTGGATGGAAAGTCTTTGAGCAAAAGTAGAGAAGAACACAGTTAGGCAGAGCTAGGTTAAGGTCATCATATTGGTGTCCTCTTATAGAGCACTGTGCTCTGGTTCTATGAGTGCGTGTGATGGGTAAGTGCTGTATGTTCGTGAGAGTGTTTGAAGTGGCTGACAGTTGTATAAAAACATAAAATGTTTCTTTCCAATTTTTGAAACACTTTTAATTAGTCCTTGGTAGAGTTGAGTGGACACCTGGATGTTCGGTTTCGCCAGGTTCGGCCGAATATCGGCAAAAAGTTCGAGTTCGGCCTCGAACTTGGCCCCAACTTGACCCCGAACCCTATTGAAGCCAATGGGGACCTGAACTTTTCGGCACTAAAATGGCTCTAAAAAAGTAATGGAAAGAGCTAGAGGGCTGCAAAAGGAAGTAAAATGGGGGTACGAGTAGGACAAGTGCCCTGCAAACAATTGGGGTAGCCCCCAAAATATTGGGACACATAAAAAAAGAAAACAAAGAATAAGTGCACTTGAGTAGAACAATGGCTGGGTGAGGCCGGTATAAATGTCTATTCTGCACAAGGTACAGAAAGTCTGGTGGCATCCATGTCTGGTTCATTTTAATAAATGTGAGCTTGTCCACGTTGGCTGTGGACAGGCGGCTACGCTTGCATTTGATGATGCCCCCTGCCATGCTAAACACATGTTCAGACAATACACTGTGTGCAGGGCAGGCCAGCCCCTCCAAGACATAAAGGGCAAGTTTAGGCCATGTGCCCAATTTGGCGACCCAGAAGTTGAATGGGGCACACCCATCAGTCAGTACGTGTAGGTGTGTGCACACGTACTGTTCCACCATGTTGCTGAAATGCTGCCTCCTGCTTAGACGTTTTATATCAGCTGGTGGTGCTGGTTGTTGTGGCGTGCTGACAAAGCTTTTCCACATTTCGGCCATGAGGTGCTGGCGGTGCCCCAGCTGCATTGGCGACCTCTTCCTCCTCCTCTGCCTTCGCCTTGTGCTTTCACTGAGCCCCCGGTGTCAGTTGGGAATGCCCTCAACAGCGTGCACTTGTAGTCACGCATCTTCTGTTCACGCTCCAGTGAGGGAATTAAGGACGGCACGTTGTCCTTGTAACGGGGATCCAGCAGGGTGACCACCCAGTAATCAGCACAAGTTAGAATATGGGCAACTCGGCAGTCGTTGGCGCAGGAACTTTGGTGACTCTAGATAACCTCGGCCAGATTGCACGTCCCCGTGATGGTGACGACGCATTCGGATGTCTACCCTATCAACTTTCAATGGTACTTTCTGCGCCTACCATGGTGACCACGGGTAACGGGGAATCAGGGTTCGATTCCGGAGAGGGAGCCTGAGAAACGGCTACCACATCCAAGGAAGGTAGCAGGCGTGCAAATTAACCACTTCCGACGTGGGGAGGTAGTGACGAAAAATAACAATACAGGACTCTTTTGAGGCCCTGTAATTGGAATGAGTACACTTTAGATCCTTTAATGAGGATCTATTGGAGGGCAAGTCTGGTGCAGAGCGACTGACCATTGTGTGCTGCAGCTGAAACACCACTATCTCCTGCTGCTGCTCGCACAGTCTCTCCAGCATGTGCAAGGTGGAGTTCCACCTTGTGGGTACGTCGCATATGAGGCAGTGAGCGGGAAGGCCAAAGTTACGCTGCAGTGCAGACAGGCAAACAGCAGCAGGGTGAGAATGCAGAAAGCCCGCACTTTCTGCAGCAGCTCTGATATATCTGGGTAGTTTTTCAGAAATTTCTGCACCACCAAATTCAGCACATGTGCCAGGCAATGGATGTGCGTAAAACCGGCTAGGCCCAGAGCTGCTACGAGATTTTGCCCATTATCGCACATCACCATGCCGGGCTTGAGGCTCAGTGATAACAACCACTCATCGGTCTGTTGTTCCATGCCTGTCCACAGCTCCTGCGTGGTGTGGGTTTTTTCGCCCAAACATATGAGTTTTAAAACAGACTGCTGTCGTTTCCCTCTGGCTGTGCTGAAGTTGGTGGTGAAGGTGTTATGCTGACCGGATGAAGAGGTGGTAGAGAAGAAGGAAGCGGAGTAGGAGGAGGAGACCACAGGAGGCAAAGAGAAATGCACTGCAATTTGGTGGCGGAAGGACATGTGCCAAACTGCTATCCGCCTCAGGCGTTTCGCAGTGCACACCTGATTTTGTCCCCCAATTGGTTGTCCCCTAGACAATACGCCTGCTACTGCCACATCCTCTGTTTGCGGGGTGGCAGGTGTCACTGTCACTCCAGAGGTGGAGGAAGAGGCAGAGACAGCAGCAGAAGAGGAAGCAGGAGGAGCCTGAGACCTTTCTTGGTTTTTGAGGTGCTTACCCCACTGCAGCTCATGCTTTGCATGTAGATGCCTGGTCATGCAGGTTGTGCTCAGGTTTAGAACGTTTATGCCTCGCTTCAGGCTCTGATTGCACAGCGTGCAAACCACTCGTGTCTTGTCGTCAGCACATTGTCTGAAGAACTGCCATGCCAGGGAAATCCTTGGAGCTGGCTTTGGTGTGCTCTGTCCCTGGGTGCGGTGGGCAGTAGCAGGCATACTCTCTAGGGGACGGCCGCTCTGCTTTTGCACCCTGCTCCCTCTTATGCTGTGTTGGTGCCTCTGTGCAACCACCACCTCTTCCTCCAAACTGCACATGTCACTCGCATGACCTTGATTCCTTGGAGCTGGCTTTGGTGTGCTCTGTCCCTGGGTCGGTGGGCAGTAGCAGGCATACCGTCTAGGGGACGGCCGCTCTGCTTTTGCACCCTGCTCCCTCTTATGCTTTGTTGGTGCCTCTGTGCAACCACCACCTCTTCCTCCAAACTGAAAATGTCACTCGCATGACCTTGATTCCATGTGGGGTCTAGGACCTCATCATCCTTCACCACCCACTCCTCAACCCTGCCCTCCTTGCACACTGCAGAAAGCCACAGCAGTTGGCACCTGTGTTTCGTCATCATCAGAGACATGCTGCGGTGGTCCTCGCATGTCCACATCCTTAAGCATAAGTGTTTGTTCATCAGTGCACTCAATCTCTTCCACTTCTGGGGCAGGGCTAGGTGGATGGCCCACGGAAACCCCGCCAGCAGAGTCATCAGAAAGCATAAGAGACTGCTGCATGACTTGTGGCTCAGACTGCTTGGCTAATTTGCAAGGGGTTGAGGTGAAAGACAGATGGCCATGGGCTGCAGGTGCCAACTCTGAGCTTTCAGCAGGGGACTGGGTGGGCGACAATGTGAAGGAACTAGAGGCATTGTCAGCCACCCAATCTACTATTGCCTGTACTTGTTCTGGCCTCACCATTCGTAGAGCAGCATTCGGGCCTACCAAATAACGCTGAAGGTTCTGTCACCTACTCACACCTGAGGAAGGTGTTTCACTTGTGCGTGTAACTGGCACAGATCGACCACGTCCTCTCCCTGCAACAGGAACTCCACCAACACCAGCAGCACCATGACCAGGGCCACGTCCCTTATTTGACGCTCTGCTCATTCTTTGCGTTCACGCAACAAACAAACAGATGGTTTATGTCAGGCGACAATGTAACCTCCAATAGGCAACAATTAAGTTCACTGACAGTAAGGCAGTGCCGGTGTCCTAAAGAGAAAAAAATTTCTAGAGGTCACACAACAGTACGAAAGGCGTAATTAATACAGTTACTTCACTGTCTCAAAAAGTGTGATTTTTTAAACCAACAATGTAACAGTAGTATTTAAGGGTTTTATTGGACTGCAAGAAATGCACCGCAGGCCGCAAATGTTCTATTTAGCACAAAAAAGTATGATTTTTTTTAAACCAACAATGTAACAGTAGTATTTAAGGATTTTATTGGACTGCAAGAAATGCACTGCAGGCCGTAAATTTACTATTTAGCACCAAATAAATGTGAATTTTTCAAAGTGCGATGTAACCGCAGTATTTGACGGTTCTATTTGACTCTCAGATATGAAGTGCACGCCCCAAATTTACTTTTTAGCACCAAAAAAAATTGTGAATTTGTCAAACTGCAATGTCACAGCAGTAGTTGACTGTTCTATTTGACTCTCAGATATGAAGTGAACACCCCAAATTTACTTTTTAGCACCAAAAAAATTTGAATTTGTCAAACTGCAATGTCACAGCAGTGTTTATAAAGGCCTAGATGTTGCCCACTGAACTAACAGAACAGGATTAAAGTAATGTGCCTGGCACACATGCAGTTGTACATAAAATGTAGTATAGCACCCTCAAAAATAATCGCTATAGTTTGCAGATTCAACACCAGAATTCTTTCCTAATCTGTCCCTCACAGCTGCAGCATCCTCTCCCTACACTAATAAGAGCTCATGTGACGTGCTACGACTCCAGCTTATATAGAGGCTGGGTAACATGCTGCACTGGCCAATCACAGCCATGCCATTAGTAGGCATGGCTGTTATGGCTTCTAAGGGCACTCAAGTCAAACGCTTGTTAATTGGCTGCCCTGCAGCTTTTCAAAACGCGCCATTAAATCATCGAACACCGAACTCGAACCCGAACTGTTACTGAAATGTCCAGGTTCTGGTTCGGGGTCAAAAAATCTTAATGTTCGGTACGAACCTGAACTTTACAGTTAGGGTTCGCTCAACTCTAGTCCTTGGCCTTATCTTAAATCTAGGATAGCATGTGGGGGGAAGCTAAGTTTTGTTTGTGGTTGCTCTCTGAATGTGTGATTTCCCCCCACCCCCCTTCTGCTTACCATTCACTGGTGCTCTACGGGAAAGCCTTTTGTCTGATGGCCCAGTGTGGGATTATTGTGGTCTGCACCAATATTGGGCACAGGTCACTTTAATAGATCCCTCATATTTACAGTGCTATGTCAATGATTCAGAGCACTGGACATGGTTCATTCATGAGTGCTGGGAGATATCGAGAGAAATATTTTCTGTGCCAAAAACTGGTTCAAACAACAATGCTTCCTCATAGAGGTGAGGAGACACAAGGCCGATCAGGGAACTCCAAGCCCACACAAGGGCCCACCATTCCCTGTCTGAGCTCAGTTACAAGAGGCTACTTTGGCTGCCTTATGGGTGATCCAGCTCTCCAGTTAGGTAAACATATTATCTGCTAGGAGGAGTAAGGTACGAAGTCAGAGATTTCTATCAACCAAAGTATTGGTTAATAACTAAAACTATATTTCCATTAAATATTAAAGGGACACTATAGTCACCAGCACTACTACAGCTTAATGTAGTTGTTCTGGCTAGTACAATCAGGCATTTTCATGCAAGCACTGCCTTTTCAGAGAAAAGGCAGTGTTTACATTGCCCCTAGGGACACCTCCAAGTGGCCACTCCTCAGATGGCCACTGAAAGTGCTTCCTGGCTCAGTGCTGCTCAGTAGCATTGATTCAATGCATCTCTATGAGGAGGTGCTGATTAATCAAAACAATGGTTGGCCCCGACCCACGTGGGACTGGAAATAAGGTGAGTTTTAATTGCTTTTAAGGGGGCTAAGGAGGGGCAAACCACCTAAATGGGGGGTTTAGCACTATGGGATAAGGAATACATGTTTGTGTTTCTGGCCCTATAATGTTCCTTTAACCCCTTAAGGACCAAACTTCTGGAATAAAAGTGACATGTCACACATGTCATGCGTCCTTAAGGGGTTAAAGATTATAATGAACAACTACATGCACTGAAAATTGAGTATTCTGAGATAAACTGAGTATCTTCTAAACTGCAATCAATAGCAGAATGATTGCTGGGTGAGCTGGAAATGAACTTTCCTTTTTTTTATTTATTTAATGGTTTGGATAGAAGAACTCTGGACAGGAAAGTCACCAAAGTGTGCTCTAGAGGAAAAAAAAGCTATTTGCGTAATGAAATATGTTTCATTCGTTTTTCAAGTCATTGGTCAATAACAAGTTCAAGGAGAAAGAAAGTATATATTTCCTGGCCATATCCATGGCAGCGCAACAGTAGGAATCTTTGTGCTGCCATGGCCTATGACCAGGAAAAGAAAATTGCGGTGAGTAGGAATAAATTTTCCTCTACATACCCCAGGAATTATGCATAATTACAGGCCTCTTTGTACTATTCTGTTGATTCTGTTTTCCAAATACGTCATTCGATGGATTCCTGGCAGGTTTGTTTTTTTTCCCGGCATCCTTATATGTTTTTGATTGTATTGTTTGTATTGTATTTCGATGCATTGTATTGTCTCAAAAACTTATTCTATCCCCTGCGTGGAAAATCTTTCTCGACTGTGTCATAATTTCTTTCTTGTTCTTCTTTGAATATGTGCTAAATAAAGAATGAAAAAAAAAGAAAAAAAAGAATGCTTCCCACATTAAATTGTAACCAAAATCCAAGTTTAATGAAAAACACTGGGAGGAAACCAGTATAAAAGAGGGTCAGCTGAACTCATCAATAAATGTACAATTCTCAATGAAGACCTACAAATAACCTTCTAATACAAATCTGAATGATCTAAGATCAGGCTATATTTCAGGGAAACAACATGTGCATAATTAATACTAAATATTACTGTTTAGTACAGATGGAGTCTGACAATCAACCATTCTAAAAGAACTGGTTTCAAAGTGA